GTAGGATTAAAATCTCAGTGCACTCGCGAAATGTGTGGTGCCTTCGACGAAATGTCGACTTTCGAACGAAAGCCGCCATCTTCGAATTAACGCCGACAATGGAGCCAATGTAATTCCTCTCAATCTCATGATAAAAACCGACGCGCCATCATCCTTAATCTATGGCTACTGCTGCCGGTGCGGTTCGAGTACATGCCCTGGAATTAGGTCATTTATCCCATATTCTTGTTGGCCGTTACTTCATTCTGCTACAGCGTTACTTCATTCTGCTACAGCGTTCTTCATTTGGGTGGTTAGGAGCAGGCCATGCAGCCGGGAATACGCATTGATTGATTCCTCCGCGGCCTCCACTTCGAGTAGAGTAACGTCTGGACCATTTCCAACGCCGCATCTCTTTATCGACCTAACGCGTCTCCGACTGCAGCTTCATTCCGGTGCTTGTTGACAAAATACGGGCCGTTCAGACAGCATCGAAATTCACACTCGCCTTGGTTGTAGTCGTAGCCGCCTTGGACGTAGACGGCCCGAGGAGTCATGGAGTGGGGGGTCGTACATCGCTGCAATGCGCGGCTCACCGCCGCACAGAAGGCAGTCGCCAACATTGGAGCAGCCGTCTGTCGACTGACTGTCGCACGTATCGGAATTGAAGTGGGCCGCCATCGAGGGTACTGACCGACCACCTGATCGATGGTATTGAGAACACGGTATAACACTGTCGACAATACTCCACAAGTCCCTAGAGCCTAAATACCGTCCTGTTCCCTCGTGTCAACAGGGTTCAGACAGACAAAGCGTGTCAAGGTGCCATGAACACACAAACGTGTGTGGAACTGAAGACTGGCATATATGTGGCCCCAGTTCAAACTACATAAGACTGGGATCAACTCGGCAAGAACCATTGTCGTACTCTCGTTCACATCCTAGCTCACGATCTCGTTTCTGTAATCACTCTCACCAGAGGGCACAGTAACAGACGACGACCTGGCGGCTGCTCCCACTTTTTTTAACCCAAGTGCAAGTCTAGGGGGTTGTCTGATGAGCCGTACAGGCCATCTCCCTCAAGAAAAATGCTAGTTACAAAACTGCGATATAGTACAGAGCCGCAACGCTACGTTCAGTCCCATGTCCAACCGATCAAAAGTACATTCGGCGCCAGACGGAGGCTAGCTGTTGCCGTGCGATTTTCGCGACCAAACTGTCATTTTTGAGCGTGGGCTGGAATTCTAGCGCTTCTTCGATCTGCTCAGAAGTGAGGGGCTCTCAGAAGTGAGGGGCTCTCAGAATTG